CTTTTATTCCTTCAACTATTATGGACCGGATTAACCTGAAAATTTGAACATTCCCTGTATTCAAATAATCTTGGGTAGAATCTTCCCAGACAACTAATTAGAAAATTTTAACATGCATCTTACTTAAACATTGATATACTTTAAATATTTAAAGTTATTGTTTTTTGGTAGGGCCTCAATAGCTTTGATCATTGGCCCAATATTTAAAGTATCTGAAATTTTAGAATTCATTATTTATCGATTTTGAAAACAATTCGAAAATTCCAACTCGTGTTCTATTTGATTTTAGAAAATGTACATACTAATTTATAAAAGTATCCATTTTCGTTGCCAGCATCAAAGGGTGCCATTAAAAGGAATAACAAACGTGCCCGATCTCGAGGAAAATCTTGCGAACCGCCCTGAGATGAACAGGTAGTTGCGGTCGAAGGTCTCCGACGTGGAAAATGTCGAATATTTAACACGGAAAACGTTCAGCGATTGGTCACGCGAACGCTGAAAGGTGCCGCGCGTTTCTTTCGTCAGGTAACATCCGAAGGCTCGTTCAGAAAATGATCCTCGTTTCGCGATCCATTCTTAGCCTTAAATATTGTGACTTTTACGTTGGTCACGCTTTCGATACAAAATTTACCGACCCTTGCTTCGTTCCGAAAGGACCACTTTCGAAGCAATGTGACAAAGATGAACACCGAGAGATCTTTTTTATATCTTAAACAAATTGTCATCCTTAACTTAATAAATTAATAAATAAAAATCGAAGACACTGCTGTCCAGAAATTTACCACCAGAAAGTTTCACAGTCAGCAATGTGTTTAACTTAATAAATTAATAAATAAAAATCGAAGACATTGCAGTCCAAAAATTTACCATAAAAAAGTTTTACAGTCAGCGATGTGTTTGACTTAATAAATTAATAAATAAAAATCGAAGACACTGCTGTCCAAAAATTTACCATAAAGAATTTTTACAGTCAGCGATGTCTTTAACATCGTCCCTAAAGAAAATTGTTCTACGTTTAATATTAATAGAGAGTAATTTAGCGTAACAAGAAGTGCAATAAAGAAAAGACTGCACGTCTACAGAGAACACCATCATCGCTTCGCGCTAACTTCGATCCAAAGAAAATAATGGTTATCGTTTTCTTCCTTTCAGGATCATCGATCATCCGGTCCGACGCTGAAAAAGAAGAAGTCCTCGATCGCTGGAGAACCGTGTTAATATCGAGAACAGCGACGGAAGTAACCAAGAAGTTCTTGCGCGTCCGCCATATTGAAAACCACTTCTAAGATGTTTCGAAGGGATCCCCAGGGATCGCTCAAGCACTAATTTTACGTCTAAATTAAATGTTAGCGTGGTGAATCCTGAACATCTTTTTGAAGTGGCTTTCTTAACTTTCTTCGAGCAGTACTTGAATATCATTGGCAGCCATTTGTAAGAAACCTTAGAGATGCTTCTTACCTCCTTACACTCACTTGTCCTCGTTTTCGCAGAGAACTTTATCCAATAATACGGTTAATCGAATTAAGCTTGCGATTTTCTTTACTCTTTGACACGCAGTCTTTGAGTCGTTCGAATCCTCACGTTCAATTTTACAACGAATGCTACGTTGCTTATTTTACTATTTTGCTATTATGTTATTATAGCTATTCTACCATTTTGCTATACTAATTCCACCATAACCCTGCATAGCAATCACCCAATTCGATCCTAATTTTCTCCCCAAGTCTGACACCCGCAATCAGAAAAGCCCGAAAGGGAAACAGATCTACCCTGCATCGAGGTCTTTCTTTTTCAGCAGGATCATATTAATATTTATCGAGCTTGTTTTCGGGACGCAGTAAATATTCGCCTTGGAGAGCGTACGATAATTTCATTGCTTAATTCGAGCGCACCAGCATGGCCCAGAGGGTCAGAAAAGGCAGCAGCGGGCAGTCTCGCGCGTGTCCTCCGCGAAATCACGCTGCGAGCTCCGATCATCGAGGGTTAAACGTTTCGGTCCGCAGAAAAATATTACGTCTTCATGGACACTGTGGCCGAGTAGCCGGTATAATTTCGTCGTTAAATCCCGCCACTCACGATGTCCCTCGTTCCCTGTAATCGTTTCATCCCTGCATACTGGGCCACTTATCGTGGATCACGACGCACGGATGAAAAAGAAGGAGCGAACGAAGGCCGTCGGTCGATCGATGATAATGATCCCGTTGATGATAGCTCGCTCGTTATTATACGCATCGCACGGTGGAAACGAGACGAGAAGACGATTGGTACCGAGAGAAAGGGAGAGAATGGACGTACAAGGGAGAGGGATAAGAGGTGCGTTCGTGTTTTAAGTCCCGGAAGCGATTGGTCGACGCCATTACTCACACCGTTTGCGCCTGCCACATGGCTCGATGGATCCTTTATTCCCTTCTTCGTTCCTCGTTCTCTTCGTCTTTGTTGCCAACTTGCGCTTTCGGGAAGATGGACACTTTGGAGAAAGTTAAGAAACAAGATACGTACAGAAGATTTGTAATCCTTCGAAATTGGTTATCCAAAAATAAGTAAGATCAAATTATCAGTGTATTAGATTACACACAGTGTATTAGATTACAATTGCCATTAGACCATATCATAATTTTAGAGTATTACTTTAATTATAACGTTACGGTCTTTGACACTGTTTTGTCATCGTGATAAAAAGTGAGTAGCTACGTGAATTTATACCGGAGCGGAAATCTAAACGGATGCGCGTGAATCAAGAGACCGATCACGAACGGCGGAATAAAAAAATAGTAAAGAATGAAGAGGCTGACAGGAGAAGAAAGAGGAGAGAGAGAGGTCCATGGCAGCCGATCCGTCTCTGGCGTGTCTGATTGTTCCTTTAACGATCGGCTGACAGCGAAGACGTATGTCGGTGCCATCAGATAATGTGGGTCGGCGTCGATGTGTACGCGGCTCGTGATACGCGTAAGCGTTTTGTAAACGCTTCGCACGTCCTCATGGTCGGCGTTCGTTCGATGCGACATCTTCATAAACTCGTGCACAAAGAGACTGTCATGTCGCATCATGGCTCTCGGACCAGGGTCAGGCAACCCCTAAACTTTCAGAAAATCAACGAACGTTGATGGACATTCACGTGGACGAAGTGTATGTCAACATTTCAGGATTCCCGATACACATTAACTTCATCGAAAATTGATGAACTTCAAAATTTAGAGTTTGACAAATTCAAAGTCTGAGATTTTAAGATTTGACCATAAAAAGATTTATTTATTAGGATCAAGCTCAAAATATTCTCTTGGGCAAAAATATTCTTCGGGAAACGGAAACAGTTTCCGGAATTGCAGTTTGAATATCGCGTTACATAAACTTCGCTGTATTCCGAGCGTACGTAAATTACTTGTTCCTTAAGTGACTTAATTAATCTGCGTGCTTAACTTTCCAACGCTTGAGTGCTTCGCAATTAAAGCGGAAGTCAGGCTCATAAACTAGAAGTTCATTAACGTTAAAGCGCTTTAGGTACACGTTAAATAAGTACTTGCTACTCTGAACGTTTATTGCGATCTCTTTTTAAACAGTTTTTTATTGTTAACGCGTGCCATTTTCACGGCAACGCAATAGCTGAGCGAATGGAAATTCGATTACCGGAGTTCAGCAGGTGTTTCCTTCGCGGTGTTCCTTTTATTACGTGACAATATTGCGAACGCTTCTTTGTTGGCAATAAAGCGCCTTAAGATCCTTGCCAGATGTCACCGTGGGTAGCGTCATATACGAGACCGAAATCTCAAATATTAGCGGATTCTCCTGTAGGATAGAGAGGATGGCACGTCCACGCTCTAATATCACGCTTTTTCCAACCCCGCTTTGCTACTTGTACGCCGTGACACGTGCACGAAACGGCTTATAAAACTTTCCGTAATACTTTTGCACTGACGAAAGTCGAATTGAAATACCTTCTTTATATTGTACTCTACTGATACGACATTTCTGCTAAAAATTAAAACTTTAAAATTATCTTATTGCATATTTATGCAAGTTGTTATCTTCTTGCAGATACTTGTAAGAATCTAAAATTAGTTTGTCGACAGGAGACTAAGTGGTATTTTACATTTGTACTATTAATTATTAGATAAACGATGTAAACATATTTTAGTGTAATTTTAAAAATTATTTAAGCATGATTATATCATTCCCTATATCATCGACAAGATACCAGTATGTAAACTATTCTGATAATTCGCATTTTCAGGTCCAAAGAATACATTGAAGACAGTAGAAAATCAATATTAATAAATATATAGCATATTAATCAATAAAATCAATAATAATTGAGTTTTTATAAAAATAGTACAAGTGGCGCCATCTCTCCGGCGAACAGGGTGAACTACACAGTTTTGGAACAGCCCTTTCAGTAGTTCCCACATGTTGCCACTAGATGGCGCCACATGTTCAATTTTAATCGAATCAGAAACTATACACAGTATCATCTGCAAGCAATATGTGGAAACTACTGAAACTACACCTTTTTTTAAATTAAAAAAATGTGAACATAGAAATAGCTAGCCATCTATCGGTGAACTGGGGGCACTAAAAAAAGTTTTCTATTTACTGAACCATTTATTGTACAAAAATATAATTAAACAAAGTTTGATATCCATACATAAAAATTAATAAAAGTATAAATTTCAATAAATAAGACAATATATCGATTATTATAAAATTAAAGTTAAACGCAATATCCAAATCTGTCCTAAAAATTTCCAACCTTCAAGTAACATGATACGATTCACGAGTTATGGTTCCAAAATGAGAAGTGATTCGGTATCGACTTTTACTACCATAAGCATGCACGTGTGTAGTATAGTTAGCTCTCTGCCCATGACTAACACATCGAGTGATCAATAGTAACGTCTACGGTCCATTAGTTCATGCATCAATACTTAATATATTACGTAATACTAGAGAATTTGACCTTTAGTTTTGGAACTCCACACAGTGCGCGCAGTTAAACAGACAAACAATATAGTGACCTTAGTGTATTTATTTTTTTTTTCATGTGAATTATGTATATACATGTGGATTTGTTAGAGACAAGCATCACGGTCTCCGTGCGAACTCTGATCTCTTGGTAGTCGAGCTTATCATTTCAATGTAATGAGACAAAAAGAAGGATGATGTTTTCCCTGATGATGCAGATGATAAAATAATGACCTCACAATGCGAGCTACGATGTAGCGCACCCTATTTCTAAGCAGGTTCATCACATTGTCAATTCCTGAAACATAGTAAAACCAAATGTAAATATTTGAACTGTACACCTAGATGTATGCTAGTTACAGAACTAATTTATCAGTCTGCCAAGGTCTTTTCAGCAATATTTTAATTCTGACTAAAAATAAAAGCGAAACCATTACTTAGATCATCATTCATCATGTCAAAAAAAGCTTGATACTTCTCTTTGAAGACTTACCATAATAGCATTGACAATGTCATTTTGATTATTTTTGAGAGCTTTAATGGCCTTCCCTCGAGATACATTGGCTTGACACATTACTAAGTCAATGTCCTTCTCCTCGACGCCTGTTTCGTCAACTTCTTCCTCTGATTCTTCCTGTATAGGCGCGACAACCTTAAAAATACCAATTTCAGAATTAGAAACCATAATCAGATATTATTATTGTCATTTATTTATACAATAAAATATCTTACCGTAGTGCTACCACCAGCCTCAGTTGCTGGAATAACTGGAGGTTCTTTGAACTTCTCAGCTGCTGCTACCTGAGCTTGTTGGCTAAGATCCTCGATCTGAAAAAAATAATTTCTTTAATAAATAAAAGCAATAAAACAACTCCACAAAAAATATCATTGCTACTAGATATCAGTCTGCCAAGGAATTTCTCTACAAAGTTTCTCAGCTTATATTATACAAAACCATAAGAATCATCATCTATCAAAAATTTTAATTTTATTATGTACAAAATTAAGACACAGTTTAAGAATTTCACCTTTGCTTCCCCAAATACTATGTAAGTATCTGAAGCTGGATTCTTCAGAACATCTGGTTTGTTAATTACAAAGAGAATATTCTTCGATTTACGAATAGTTACTCTGTTTACACCTTGAACCTATATACAACAAAAAAGAAATTGCTTTAATATTCAATTATGTTTGGAGTTACAAATACATTAAGAATGCAAATATGTACAGGTTTTAGTCCTAATTTGCTCATAAGCTTCCTGGCTTTCTTCTCTCCCCGACTCTGTTTTGCCTTAGAAACCATGTCAAGACCAGTGACAGTCGTGGCTGAAAAGCCAACAGTACCCCCAGCACCCGCATCATCCAAGTCTGGAAGAGTATCGTCCGAGTCTGAATCAGTTCCAGATCCTGCTGCTGTTGCTTCGACCTTACTAGGTTCGGAGCTTGCAGCTTTGTCGAGTTCAGTTAATTCCGGCATATTTGTTGAGCTACAACAAATGATTAAATCAGATATTTTTATTTTATATTTTAATGTTCTTTATTATATACAATGTACAAATATATTCAATACAGAAACATATCTACATAATGCTAACATTTATTAAGTTTAAACTTAATATCTCTTACATTTTTAATTGAACTAAATCAGAACAATTGTATAACGAATCGCACGTGTTTAATACCGGGCTAACAAAGTCCGCCCCACCTTAGTTTCTAGCGCAGTATAACTTTAAGTTAAAGTACGCAATTGGACAAATACGAATAAATCATTAATGAAATTTATCGGTAGATTAAAAGTTACTAATAAATGCAAAATAAGTGGACGGAAAGAATAAACACTTATCGCACAATGATTGTCACCGACTAATGGACGTTGTTATGGCGCCCACTAAAGGCAGTCAAAAATTACTTGCAAAAATATCATCGACTAGATTCTTCGTTACTTATGTTTAATTATCACAACACGTTTAAGTATATTCTAATAAGCACCAGTAACGTGTTCCCTACTGCTTTGTGCGCTTTTATACGATGTTTTACATCGATATTATGCACAGTAAATTGCGTGAGTGAAAATCGTCGGACCACAAACATTTCGTGTGTTCACCGTTGACAATAAATCGTATCACGCAATATGATTTGCACGGAAAAATACATTGGGTTTTTATTTCTCGATATTCGCGCTCTTTTACTATCATTACAAAACGATGTCGAAAAAATCGTTAGATTTACCTCAAACGATAATCCGTCGACGGCCGAGCACTATTTTTACCATGTAAACTGAGACCGATTCACACATGTGCCCGAATGAGCATAAGTTCATTACTTTTGCGAACACAAGACACGAAGGAAGGTTTTGTTAAATCAGCACCCGCAATTGGCTACACAAAGCTAGAAGAAAAATATCGTTGTTTTATGAAACCCATTTTTGCAACGGGAACTAATTCGAATGTTAAAAAACTTCAGATTCCCGCCATTGAATCACGAACAGAGAAATTATTAACAGGTATTTTCGTTAAAAAGTATATTTCCTTTAACAATCGTTCAAACAATTTTGTTTATCTCATGAATACAAAATTTTAATTCAGTCAAATTTAAACGTTGCTTCAAATAAGATAATTTAATAATTATTAAAAATAATTTAAAAGAATGTAAAATGTTTAAATTTCTACAAATTTTAATAGATAGTGAAAAGTAAAAACTAGCTACAGCGATTACATGTTTTAATAAACGCCGATTCTTTATCTGATACATATGTACATTGCATTCGCTTGTAATAAATATTACCCAAACACAAAATACGATTTATTATCACAATACTTATGTTTAAAAAGTTCCAATGAGAAACAGTTCAATGTACTTTCTTCCATGTTCCTTATTCGTTTCTTTTGTACAAATTATGAATATAAAAAGTATTCATGTCTTCTATAACATGATATTCAAGCAGTAATCGAGTTTTTAATGACAGTCGAGCACAAAATTTGTGAGACAACGCGTATTCATTAAAAAAGGAAAGAGAACAAAAATTATGTAAGATTCAAATTGATGTAAGAAAAAGATCGAATTTCTTATAAGAAAAAAAAAAAAACAAAAAAAGTACTTTCTTCTAATATAAATACTAATGTCCACTATTGACGAGATAAGCAGTCTTAATTGAAACGTATTATTGACTACAATTTTCAACGTGGGCATTTTCATAATGCTTCGGATAATTTAAAATTTTTAGAAGAATAAACAATTTCTAAAAATTTGTCAATATATTATGAAATTTCACGATTTTGCAAGTAACATATAAATGAAGCAAACATCATATGGGAATTAATAAGATATCTTGTTAATGATATCTTTTCTAAGTACTTGCGATCATTTTGCTTCATTCTACAGTTACCCAAAATCCTAACAAGAGTTAGACAAGAACAATTTGGAATGATCCTTCATTCAAATATGAGAATATAGCATTCATGTAATTTCTGCAAATACTATATTACTATCTATTGTCGAGTATCATATCGTTTACTTTCGTTTTCAAACTCTTGCTGGAGTAATATAGTATTTACGTTTTTAATAAACATCTATACCTATATACCTATGCACTACAATGTCAATTGTAGTAACATTTCATAACAAAATGTTTTCTGTCATATATTCCTTTGAAATATGTTCGTGTTAGGAGAACGAATCGTCAACGTCCATTTTCTCAACACTTTCTTCGCATTTTTCCTCTTCTTTTGTCTCAGATTTTGTAGCATCTGGTTCATCTATGATTACAGTCATATATAATATCTAAATCATATTACATTTTAAACATGTTTAATGATATCTTTCCTTACCACATTCGTTTTTCACTGGTTCATCTATATGTTCAGTGTCTTCTGGAATTTCTGTCGGTTTTTCAACTACTTCGATGTCGGAATCTAAAAATTATTTGCTTATTTATGTTTGAGCTTTCTATGGCTTTTGAACATTTCTAATGACGATTAAAAAAACCTGTATCTGATGGGGTCGTTTCCGGTTGCATAACTTGTGAAGGTTCCATATTTGTGGCACCTAATGTATGATCAGGAGTATTTGAAGATGATGAACTGTGTGCAAAAGAAGTTGCATCATACTCCAATTTTGGCGCAGAAGGTTTCTTTTGTTTTCTTGCAGGATTCCAGAAGTTGCAGTAACAACATCTGAATCCTGTAATATAAAAATACACTCAATTTGGGGTACACTCAATTTTTCGTAATAAATTATCACAAATGTTTACCAAAATATTCGAATTCTTCTTTCAGGGCCATTCCGTTATGCGATTCGCAATGTCGGCAAATTAACGCATAACGATTTGATGGGCCATCACCCACTAAATAATCAATTAATCGATCTAAGTAATTCCTTTCACGAGGCAATACCGGACGAGGTAACGGTGACCCTGTTATATGTTATCATAAAATAATAATATTTGAAAAAAGTCAATATGAATAATTATACTGTCAAAAATACTAACGATAACCCATGATTGGAGAGTTAATTGGTTTCATGCCACCCTGGAAAGGAGTACTTGATGGATTTTGAGTGGGAGCTACGCCAACTGGGACAAGGCCAGTGTTAGTGGGCATACCACTTTGCATGTTCAGCTGATTTTGACTTGTTACTACTCTTCTTCGTAGTTCCGCAGAAGAAGGTATGGGGGATATCACATTTTGTGGTGTGCTAAATCTTTGAGATGTTTCTAATGGTGGTGATACCTTATAAGTTGGCTAAAATGAAAGTTTCTTCATTAAATTGTATATCAATTTTTTAGAAATTACTTTTTAATAATTTGTTAGTCAAAAATAAATGTTTATAAATGTATGCAAATCATATTACGAGGAAGTTATTTAATGCATACAAAATACACACCTGTGGAGATAACTGAAAAATAAAAAAAAAAGGTGATTAATTAAAGCAAACAAAACATATACTTTAATTGAAACAAAAAAGTTTAGGTAATTAACTTTTAAATCATATATATGTTTTAGTACTTACAGGAGTCATTCTTAACTGATCTGGAGCAAACTTCATTAAAATTTCTTTAGCTTTTTTGTATGTTTCAGTTTCTGTAACTTCATCTAGGATTTTCTTTTTCTCTGATTGCATTGTACTTAATTTTTCTTGATTCTCAGAGATTTTACGTTTATAATACCATGTAACCATTTTTTTTGTAAGTAATATTCTGTGGGAACGATATATACACCTCATTTGCAAATAATAAATAATTTTGTACAAAACAAGGAAAATATAGTACTTACAGAATTGGAAAAATTAACAATGGAATGATATAAAATATTTGATCATATAAAGATGCTGGGAAGAAATAAAAATAAAAAATGAATGCTGTTACAATATAAAGTATAACACTGTAAAGAATCAGTGTTCCAACAATCTTTTTATGTCTTTGTTCTGTAGTTTGCCCATATCTCTCTATTTCTTTAATTTTCTGTTAAAAAATAGAATTTTATTGAATTCTACAAATGCTTATAATACATACATTTGAAGGAATATACATTTCTTACCGTATCTAGATCCTCCAATATTTCAATTGTCGTTTTCTTTTTCTGAAATATAAAAAAATTTTATTCTTATCTGATTATTAGTGAATTCTAACTTCTACTAATCAATAGATCAAAAGTGTACAACATTTTTTAATTATTTTTCCTATAATATATTAACTGTGTTCGTGAACAATGACGATAACAGATCCTATATTTCTTCACATGTTGTTAATTCAGATGTAAAGGTGTTAAATAAAAGTAATGCATAGTCATTAAATGGTAATTTTAGAATGTATAATATTTCTTTTGTATGCATTATAAGTCAATTTTGATTAATCATTCAATAACAGAAATTGTAAGTAGACTATTTTAGGAAATTTAAACTATAAAATGAAGAAATGCATATTTTACAAGTGAAATGTATTTATGAAAAAGTGCATATACTTGTTTTTAGTGTACTTTGTTTAAAATTTTATTTTGGCGCCTAACCTTAAAAAACTGTCAATTGTTAATATATATGTTTATTTGTACCCTATTTTGGTATCAAAAAAAACATAAAATATTATGTATTAACGGGTTTTTAAAATAATATAACATTATTCGGAAATGCGTCCTAAAAAAAATGTAGAATGTGGAAGAACGTTAACCTCTAACCAATAAAATATTAATATTCACATTGAAAAGTAATACAAACTTACTCGAAATCTTGATAGAATCATTCCCATGTTGCCGTTAAAATTTTAGTGAATGTCCCTGTAAATTGATAAACGAATTGATGAAAATAAAACGGCTCAAACGTAAGGTGTCAAAACAAGAGATTCGTACAATTTTAAAATAGCCTAGCCGGGCGGTATGTAGACGTAGTCGACCCAAATTTAAATCCTTCTGCGTTTTGTTACGTTATTTATAGATCGAATCCTCTATAAACACTTTTCAAATTGTAATAGCAGGAGATTTGACATCATGTTTGAAAAAAAAATAAGTATTTTCTTTCGGCGCGCGGTACATTCATACACCAGAAACGTCGATGAATCAACAGATGCTGAGAATTCGTTTGTCACTTTTATGTAGATCAACTAATAAAGTGCAAAAATATTCTCAATTTCAGAACAATTCACTAAAATTATATAACGTCGAATTGCAATGATTAGTACTCGATACTCGCGTCTACAAATGATTCTATCGAAATCAAAATACCGTTCCGTTTGAACCTGCAAACCGAACTGAGGCACGAGTCACTATGCGTGGTGTTGGAATACGGCTTGTTTAAAGCAGAGCATTCCCAAAGTGCGGGTTCCGACTCAATCAACCTCGCATTAAATATTAAAATACAAAATATTTGGTCAAGCGATGTTGTTTATTTAGTTTCACTTAAGCACGCGTTACAAACGAGTTGTTCGCAAAAAATTACTGACGTCGAAAGTGGACTCTCAGATCTTGCAGTCTTACAGTTACGGAACTTTGGCGTTTTGAAATCATCGAACTTTCGAACTAATGCATTTTCGAATTTAGGTACATTGGAATTTTGTGACTTCCAAACTGCGATTTTGTAATTTTTGATTCTTAAAACTTCGAACATTAAATTAATGCGTTATAAGCAAGTGGGTCGTCAAAGTTATCATTTTCGAAAGTCGATCTCTATTCATAAAAGTTTGGAAAGCGCTGATTAGAATACACATCTTGCATTGATAACGAAGGAACGAAACGAGTCAATTAAATATTAGTAAAACTTTTATTACAACGATGAACATGACATATATGTAAGTATTTAGGAATATGTTCTGTAAGATACATAAATAGAGCTGACGTGTTCTACTCGATTACTTAGAGATCGATACTTTAATGTTACTATTTTTATTGCATAGGAAAATATACTTTCTGTAATGAACATTCAAGGTAATTTACGCATTTTTCATTATGACGTCTCCGTTGCAGTGAACCGCCTTTGCAGCCATTTCGATGCAGTCATTTATCACAGGAATCGCTTGTTCGACAAGTAATATTTCCGAAGATGACATTTTAGGCAATCCAAAATTCTTTTTCACACCACCAGTGCCAAATTGTAATTGGCTCGTAAAAAACCGGCATACTGGTAACACGTTCGATCGTACATAAGCAGAAGCAACGATATTTTCGAATCCGCAAAGTCCACCGGCAAGTGTGAGAATCAATTTAGCAGCAGCCGCTGCGTCAGACAATGATCCTTTGGATCCACTGTTTGCTAATTCTCTGTCCGCATTACGAAAGGATCTTAACAATAATTCTGTCTGTTCCTACATAAGAAAACTTATTATAATTTGAAATTTAATTTGCAGGAAGTGTCCGTCACGATATACCGGGATTGTAAATTAAACCCATAACCTACAATACTTTGTAAACTTTGAGGATTTATCAATTTCGGAATTTGGAAATATAGAACTAAATTTTCAAGTTGAGAAATTGACTACGGATAAATTTGATGGTACTGTTGTTTTACTACCTCGCTATATCATGATAAAAACTATCATTACAGATTCGTACGTTAGTGAATCCGCTGGCGGGAGTAGTTCGTGATAGAAGCGGCACGATAGTACTCGTATCTGCTCCACCGACTACTGGAACCGATAAAAAAGCAGGATTCAAATCTAACAGGTTCGCGGTAATCGCTTCCATTCGCATATGATCTAGGGCAGTAGAACCAATGATTCGGTCTGGATCCCACCATTTAGCATGTTTGTAGATCTCCGAGACCATCGGAAGTGTTGCTGTAACTGGTCGAGCAAAAACGGCTACCAAAGAATTCGAACAGAACTGTACCATTTTCTCAGCCATTTTATGCACATACGCTGATGCAGCTCCAAACTGCGCTGCGATATTTAAATCGCAGTCCATATTTACGTTCCTCTCGTCCATTAAGGCGATAATATTTGTCTAAATGTTATCGTTTTACGATAAAATTATATTAAGATGGTATTAAAATTTAGTAGATAAGAAGCATGACATACTTCCTTCAAAGCTTCTTTCAAGTTTTTCCTTTTAAAACACTTTAACCGAGCTGACGTGTCGATATGACTGGCATCTAAAACTGGACTCATAAATAAATCATTCATGTCTACCAAATGTATTCGTTTTATTAAACGGGATTGTTTTAAAAGTGCTGCCGTATAAATTGTCGCATCGCTGCCTCCAATTATAGAAACTTGCACGTCACCTTTGCGATCCGGTAGAAAGTAATCGTAACTACTGAATTCAGGTTTTTTCGTGTCGCAAACACCAGCTTTTGCTTTACATTTTTGATCTTTATCGGTGCTCTTAATTTTCTTATCGTCAATCGGCATGTTTGATATGTGTCGAGAAAGGTGACGCGACATAAATTTTTTGATGCATCTTAACATGTGTCGTTTTATCGCAATCATATCTAAATATTGGTTTCACTGTGTGAATCATTGGTATTAATTTTGTAACATTCTTGATACTTATAACGTGGAAGATAAATTTTCATTAACACATAGGTTATTACCTTAAGTTAAGGATATGAGGAAACATATTAAAACAATTGAATGATTCTGGACTTCATGAATTTTCCATTGTAAGTCCTTTACATGAATTTAGACTGTACTGACGTGCGTTCTGTTTTAACACTTGTAACAATAATTATTCGCAAATAATTACAAACTTAAAAGAATTTAAAGAAGCTAAAAAGAATAGGCATAATAATAATGAAGATTAAAACGAAACAATTATGTTTAATATCCATATTATATATTCTATCAGTAATTCTAAAATATATAAAAAACAATTAAAAGATTTACTTATATTTAATCAATAAACACTAATTATTAATTACGTCACGGATACATTATCTGTTTCTACAATAATGTCAGACATATCTGGAAGAGATTGTATTCTTAACGTTTTCTCGTTTGCCAAGTGTAACAATGATACAAAAGAAATGGGAAAACTTAGAGCTTCCATATTAGTTTTTGTTAACATATTTGGCAATGTCTTATAAATATTACTGAAACATTTGCTATTGTTCATTTCATTTTCTTCCCGTTCTGTCGTATTTTGAGTATTTACATCTTCTACCGCCGAATTGTCTGTTTTCAAAGTTAGACTTTTCCAAATAGACCTTTTCAGTTGTCGCATGTCTATTCTTTTTGCTTGGACACTATATGCGATAAATATTTTGTTCGTTAATTTAGGAGCAGTAACTAAATTATTGTCGGTGAAAGCTTGGGTTTCTCGTTGAGCTTCACTTGCAAAATTGCATTCATTTTCATCAGTATTGTCTTCGCACGCTTCATAATCATCGTTAGGTACACGAGGACAATAATTTGATGTATCATTTTCATTATTGTAATCATAATCCTCTATATCAGATATATGAGTAGCATTTAAATTATCTCTTTCTTGCACCTTTAACTCTATCATTTTATGAAGATAAAGTTTAGTAGTATATGCAATATCATAATGCATATCCCATGGCAATGTTAGATCTTCTTCTAGCCATTCTAGTCTGGCAGCTTCCATTTTTGAATTACGACCTAGTACAAACTTTACTTCTATAGCCTTTTTTGTTTTATCATCATAATTCATTTCAATTTCTTTTCTTTTTCTAGTTTGACGTTGCTGACATGTTTCAATGATTTTACTTTGTCCAGAAAAGTTTCTCAAATTATTTATTTTCCAATGAGAAGGACCAGCCCAGTGTTTGTTCATACTTTTTTGAATGAACGAGTATTCGGATGTTTTAGTTACAGGACAATTAGATACAACTTTGCATAAATCTACAATATTTGTTTCTAGTTTTCGTATTTCAACACATTTGTTCACGTTTTCTTCTTCATTTTCAATGTTTGAATAATTTAAATCGTTATGGACGACTTCCTCCTCGGATGGTATACTAGCATCTAAATCAAACTGAAATCTGTTATCATTATTTTCTTCTGACTGTTCACCCTGACTTAACTCTTCTTCTTCATTACCGGTCCACTTACGAAATTCGAAATTAATTAAAGGTGGACATACTTCTAATTCAGTCAAACCTTCTATTCTTGGAGGAGTTACTTTTGTAGAAGTATCATTAGTCTTATTCTCTATGGTATCAACAATAACATCATTGTATGAGTGTAAATAGAAGTTAGAATTTGCATGGTTCGGTAACATTACTTGATATAATGCATTTGTACTCTGTGCATCCTGTTCTTCTCTTATCCATAACGAAGGTTTAGATATTTCAATAGGTCCTTTTAAACTCTCCACTGTAGCAAATAATTTTTGTTTATTCTTTTTCTTTTTCTTTTTACTTAGTGAAGATGGATTATTGTTTCCTTGTTCACTATTTGTTTGTCCTTCTAAGTCATTAATTTGGTTTTCATCTTCGTGTTTATCTAATCCACCGGACATTTTCATTATTTCTGTATGAACATTATCTACACGAAAACCATAAATTTTAGTACTTACATCTAAAGATGTGCTAGCTACTTGCAGATTAGTCATATTATCATCTTTTTTACTTATCATATAGGTCATAAAATCAATTATTTCAAGACTGAATGCATTCTTTGCATTAATCTTATTTTCAGTATTTAGTTTTATGCAGTCAGTTATATGCTGTTTTACATCAGGTGCTGACATTTTAGATACAAAGTCAAGTCCTAAAGACATTCGTTTATTATTTACATTTGTACTTTTAGCAGAAGATTGCAATTCATGATGCAAAGCCAATCGTTCAGCTTCATCGTTGTTTTCTATCAAAACAGACGACGATAAATTTGGTGCAAGAACAGATTTTCTTCGTAAAGATGTGGAATGGGTTGCTAGTAATATATTTTCTTTATTTTGAAGTGTGTCCATTTTGCCAATTTATTTAAATAAGAATAATGTTGAACTTTATATCTTCGTTAATGAGGTTTGTTTATCTGAAAGAAACATTCTTACTTTGTTTCATACTGTAACGTATTTACTTTTGTATTACTAACTTTAGAACTGAATTGTTTTAACAAAATATAGTATACAGTTCTACGTTAAATTTTTATTAACACATTAATAAATAAAATACTTTACCACTTAGTGAGTTAAAATTCTTTATTATTTTCTCCAGATCAGATCTTACTAATCGTAATAAACTATAGTATTGTTGTAATTCGTATTGCATCTGTTGAAGTACTTCCAGTTTCTTTTTAAGATCCTGAAAATAACATAACAAAACTTGTACAATTTTTAAGAATACTTTCATTAAGACATGTATGATCTCTATTGTATCATACCTGAGTTTCCATTTGATGAAAAGTTCATTAAAAAAAATGCACGACGAAAGCTTTAATTTCCTAAGTTTTATTTGATTTTGTAAAGTTCGCCTCACATAACAGAAAACACAAATTCAAATGAGTTTGAACAGACAGGTGTTCAAAAACTCATTTTACTTGAACCATAATAATACAACTTTACTTTTAATTGATGTTCGTGTATATGGCATTTGTTGATATTCATTTTTATAAATGGTAAAAATTATAGTTTAAAATATTAATCGGCCGATTTGAAAGGAAGTTTATTGATATTATTTTTTGGTAAAACAATGAGATATGTAATTTGGTGGTATTGGCAGTACTGTTAAATGTGACAGGTCAGTCTGCAAGAATGGCGACCATGGTGGAAGAACAGAATTCGATTGACATGGGGGAAGATAAAGAATCACAGTGAGTCGTAATATACTAATTACAATAAATGAATTAACTTAGTAACGTACAAATAACTGTGCAAACATGCTATACAAAAAATATCACGGTTTCAATCAGGCTTGAAGAAAATAACCTAACGCATAACAATCATCTGCAATTCTTAGCAATATTTTTTAATTTATACATCTATTTACATTGCAGATTCGACCAAGTCACTTACAATTGGGTGGATATTACTCACGAATTTTTCGAAGCCATTACAGGTGCTTGTTTGAAAACTAATTTCTTCCTTTGCCAATGCACACTTGAGTTATCTTTTTTGTTTCTTCTTTTTATGTATATTTGCTCACACTGTCACAACTAAGATAATACAAATTGGATAGAATAATAGATAATTCTATTCAATGAAGCATATTTATGTTTAAGTACTAATTTCAAGGACATTTAAAAGAATTGCTTTTAGAACTATAATTTATAGTTAATATGAATTGATTAAGTTAATTGTATAGTTAGTATAAAATATTTCATTGATGTGTTTCTCTAGAGCTGGAATTGGGAGAACTTTTACACGATGAGTTGTTTGGGTTGTTTGAAGCAATGTCTGCAATTGAAATGATGGATCCAAAAATGGATGCTGGCATGCTGTGTAATAGAGGAAACAACAAACCATGCACTTTCACACAGGCTGTTGATTCTGGCACATTAAAGTTGGACAATTTGACCCCATCTGAAGTTATAGGAATAATAGATTCAACTTATGCGTGTATAGTGTCTTGGCTCGAAGGTCATAGTTTGGCCCAAACAGTTTTTATCAATTTGTACCTTCACCAACCCGGTCAAATAGTAGATAAATCCCTGAAAACCTTTTGTTATGCTGTGTATAAAATTATTGAAATAATTAAAGACTGCATCAATAAAGCATTAGTTTTCGAGGAAGAAGATTTTCAAAGTGTTACTTATGGCTACAAATTGCAACAGGATATTACAGAACAGAAAACTATATCCATGCTGCGAGAAGTAGAAGAAGAATTGCATAGGAAAAGTAGAATAAAACCAGTTGATGTAGAATCTGAGAAAGAAGTAGGTGCATTTTTGAACAAGGAGCACATTAAAGTTTTGTAGTAGATGTGTTTGTCACACTCTTCTTTAATAACAAGAAAAATAATTAACATTGTTTCTTTCAGTATAACGATGGATTAGCATTATATGCTAGAATTAGATTCACTAAAATGTTTTATCAAATATTGACATTAATGGGGAAAAAAGAACAATTACAGCAGAACTTAAATGATTGTCATAGATTATTATCAAATTGTTCATACATGATTCAAGTTATGATTAAGACAGTGAATCGTGGAGAGAAAGCTGATGAGATATGTAAGTTTCTTAACATTGTTTTATCCTCTACTTACAGAAGTAATACATACAACAATTTTAGCAAATTATCCAAACATCATGGGATTTGATCCTATGGTAAATCAAAGATTATTACCACCAACATTCCCTCGGTATACTAAGATAAAACCAAGAACAGAGGCCCTAAAATATTTAGATGACTTACTAAACAGATTTCGTACTGTAACTATGATCACTAATCAAAATGGATTTCATGCAGCTTTGGTAAGAGAAGATTTACAACAGGCATAACATACAGGCATAAATTCCAAGTACACTGATTTCTTTTTAGGACTTTTTTTTAGAATTTTCACGACAAAGTCCATGTATATTATCCAGATCAATGCTGCAAATAGTTTATTTGCCCACAACAAATCGGGTGTTTGGCGTGCAACATTTTTCGGATGTTCTGAAAGATGCAGCACGAAATTTCATTGCGCCTCCAGTTTTAATGCCAAAGAGTACATTACTTCAAAATCATCAAGCCAAGGATTATGTTGATAATTTTTTATCTCATTGTGTTAGCTTATTTGGCAGTTTATTACAACTTACCGGTCATAATAGAGCTAGACAAAGAGATAAATTGGCACATTTATTGGAGGATTTTGCAACGTTACAGGATGAAGTACGTTTAAAAATAGCTTATTATATATGTCAACTAATGTTACCAATTGTTTATGACTTGTAATTTCAACAGGCTGAAAGGGTAGACGCATTTTTACATACTTTGTCTTTAAAAAGTGATACACCTAGATCACACCTAGCTTGTTTTGGAACATGGATTTTGTATCATACATTACGAGTTATGGTCATGTACTTGTTAAGCGGTTTTGAGCTTGAGTTGTATTCGGTACACGAATACCACTACATATTTTGGTACCTGTATGAGTTTCTTTATGGATGGCTCGTATCGGCCATCACGAGGGCAGACACGTTCTTAATGGATCAAGATGTACATAATGATAGAGAAGTACATAAAGGTAGAGGAGGCAAAAAGAGTGCTAAAAATAAGAAAAAGAAGTCAACACCCAGACCGTATGACTTGGAAATATTAATGTATCAAGCTATGCAAAATATATGTGGTGGATACTATAAAGTAAATTTTGTATCTCTGTATCAAATAAACATATATTTCTACATTGACAATCTAGCTGAAGCTGTAAAATTGTTTCATAGGCCTTAGTAGGTTTTCGTATGGATGGGAAAATACCACTTCCCGAGATGCAATTTGACTCGGAACGAGTTCGATACGAGCATAGGTTACTACCGTTTTCTTCATTATTGACTCCGCCACCGGTAAATTATCAAGAATTTTTAGATATAACCAATGCACAGATGCATAAAAGAAACGTGAGTGTGATTTTTCTTTTTCTATTTTTCTTCTCTTTCTAAGTAATACAAAGATCTTCTTTCTAACATCCATTTTCTTAGGAGAAGGTCACTAGTGCAACACTGTATGTAGCTGGGTGCCGTCATTTTCATCAAGCTAGGAATATGTTGGAAAGATCATTGTCCCTTTATCCGCCGAACGCTAGTACCGTGAATGAGGTATACTCCTAAACTTTTGTTGGTGTAATTTAAAAATTTGTTTCCACTTATTGCATATATATTTAATTTGCAGATTAATGATTTATTAAAAGTGGCGAAAACGAATTTTGTGGTTCTAAAATTACTTGCTGATGGGCATAAAAAGGATTCTAAAAAACCTCCAGTATTTGACTTTTCTTGTCATCAACATTTCCCACTGATAAAACTAACTTAAAAAAATTTCATTTGTAATAGCCATCATTTCATGCTATAAACGACATATTATTTATTCTAGCTTTAACCGTGTAAAAAAATATTTTTTGTGTTGTTGACTTTGGATGCACTTTTACTTTCATTTAATACAACCTTTGATGCTCTTCCCCTTTTTTTGTTTTATTAACGAGCACCCCCCTTCATTGTACAAATGTGTATTATTTGTCGTGCATATTTTGTGGATAAATTTCTATACAAAATGAAAACGATATTTGTATATAGTTTATCACAAGTTGTATATGTTTTTAAGTGAGTTCATGTGGATACTGAGAATGAATGTTTGAGGATGAGGTTTGTGAAATTGACGAGTCGCTGTGAAATGTAAATAAAAAATGTAGAATGTATAGTTTCGAAATATTGTATAGTAACACGTTTTATTAGTGAAATTGTTAACGATTCTTGTTAGAGATATGTGTAACATTTGAGGGACACTGAAGGCTTCGTCTACGAGAATACAGGTTCTGATAACAATCTTTTTTACACGATAATTTCATAATTTTATTAATCTCATGTGACCTAATTTGTTTTCGTCTACGAGCATCCGTAGCTCTAAACATCTAGACGAAAATGCTATCGTTTATATACATTGTTAAATTCTGTACTATATGCACGAAAATTGTAATATTGACTCGAAGCAATGAATCTGAATGTAAAATTAATAATTGACAAAGAAAATAAGATGCTTGTAAATCGCAAGATTCATGTGAGAAGGTGATGTATGTCTAATAAAAAGCGATAATCCGAGATGAACGAGAAGCGTATTTAATAAACTAAAATAATTTTCTTATCACGCAGTTGACATGAAAGTTACACTTGACGCGCACAAACACATTTCCGAAAACAAATGAAATTAGTAGCAGATTTTGTACTCGAAATCGAACTCGCTGTACAACCTATTATTTTCTGAAGTCGAATAAAAGATTTTGTTGCTGTACCGAATAAATTATTTTTAACGAATTCGAAATCACACGAATCTCAAGATGGTTTGCTGTTCAGCCTGGAAGACGGAGGATCGGAGAATAAAGAAACCGTACTTGGGCGGATGGAGGCACAAAATCACTAAATTAGAATATTTAAATGCGGAATCTCAAACGGGGCCGTTGAGGATGCCGAAAAAAAACACTTGCAGTAGAATGGTGCAATATATTGCAACGGTAGAGGTATCCACGCAGACACCGTGTCGTCATCCAACACAAATGTGGCGGTACGATATTCTACTTTGGTATCTGGGCGTCAAGAAGTTTCATTTTCTTGATGAAGCAATATCTTTCCTTATCGTTCAACTTAAAGCAAGATCTCCATAGAATCCCTCCGCGTTTTAAGATGAAGAAACCTCTGTATCTTGTTCGCGATAGAGTATCTCTTTTTAGCACGAATACCTCGCTGTCGAAACATCTTCTTTCCTTAATAATCCGTTCTTTCATTTAGACCAGATTGTTTTATATCAAGCGCGTCAGATAAATATTTGACGTCCAAACCTTATGAAACGTACGAAGAAATGATGCTGCGATTAGATTACGATGGAAAAGCGAGAATTATTCAGAGAAATTATAGATGGTACATATTGTTGAAGAACATTAGGAAATATGCTAAACAGTATCGGGAACTGGTCGAGGATTGCAGGATGTACGAGCTAGAAAAATCGTTAATTTATAGGTACGACGTTATAATCTATTTAGATTGCATTCTTACACCAATTCTTCAATTCTTCACCAATTTTCTTCCACGTCCTTTTCAGGAAAAGACATCAGCAACAAATTTTAAGGCGAATCAATCCAAAATCTCAACTAGACTTCGACATGTTGTACGATCTGGTCGAGAAGTGGAGACTCGATCGTCTCGAGTGCACGAAGAAACGTTTCTTCAGAGCTGCCAGAAGCGCAGAAAGTTACGTGATCTTAGACAAAACGGTAGAAATGTTCAGAGTGATCGATCAAAAGCGACAGGAAGTAAAGAGAAGATACAGGAACAAAAAACGCGTGAGATTTATCACGATTAACTGTAAACCCATTACTTGGCACGGTTACAAAGACAAGCTAGTGCAAGTGGACACCATGAGGAATCAGAAAGCACGAGAATTAAAAATGATCTACGATTCGTTGATGAAATACAACGTCACTCGAGGAGAACGTATAGAGATCCTGGCAATGCTGAAGAAATCTTTGGAAGTGCACAATTGTGTTGCTGCAATAAATCTCATTCGACATTTGGACCAGGAGTTAGCCTATTTAACGAGAGGCATGAGAGGCATGTCGCTGGATTACTTTCGGGGAAGAATACTGTGTAAGAAACATTTTATGTGCTTTAAAAGTTTAAATTGATGCAAGAATTTATTTTGATTACACAGATGATTATTTGTACTTTGTACGATCGTCACATTCTTGTTGTTGCGTTGATGATGATGAACATTTCTGCAAGAATGTGGATGATGAGAAATTACGAGAACCTGTGGAGAAGAACACGAAAGTATGTCGCAGTTGCTCGAGATTGCTACCCAGTCACAAATTCACGGTTCATGGGAGGCTGACGAAGTTGTCTACTTGTGTTGGTACAATCCCGTGTTATTTTTATTCTGATATAGGGGATTTTTGCTAAATTATTATTTATATTGTTACATAGTAGATTTCGTTGTATTGCCAAGCATTAGAATTTTAATGTGTTAAATATCCACACGTTGGATTATGACGCGCTGGATATTTACACGTTGAATTACTACGCGCTAGATATTCACACGTTGAATTACTACGCGCTAGATATTCACACACTAAATTACTATGCGTTGGAGTACCAACATGTTGTGTCGCTACGCGTTGTATCACCAAGCATTAGAATTTTAATGCGTTAGATATTCACACACTAAATTACTACACTCTAGGTATTTACACGTTGAATTACTACGCGCTAGATATTCACACGTTGAATTACTACGCGCTAGATATTCACACGTTGAATTACTACGCGCTAGATATTCACACGTTGAATTACTACGCGCTAGATATTCACACGTTGAATTACTACGCGCTAGATATTCACACGTTGAATTACTACGCGCTAGATATTCACACGTTGAATTACTACGCGCTAGATATTCACACGTTGAATTACTACGCGCTAGATATTCACACGTTGAATTACTACGCGCTAGATATTCACACGTTGAATTACTACGCGCTAGATATTCACACGTTGAATTACTACGCGCTAGATATTCACACGTTGAATTACTACGCGCTAGATATTCACACGTTGAATTACTACGCGCTAGATATTCACACGTTGAATTACTACGCGCTAGATATTCACACGTTGAATTACTACGCGCTAGATATTCACACGTTGAATTACTACGCGCTAGATATTCACACGTTGAATTACTACGCGCTAGATATTCACACGTTGAATTACTACGCGCTAGATATTCACACGTTGAATTACTACGCGCTAGATATTCACACGTTGAATTACTACGCGCTAGATATTCACACGTTGAATTACTACGCGCTAGATATTCACACGTTGAATTACTACGCGCTAGATATTCACACGTTGAATTACTACGCGCTAGATATTCACACGTTGAATTACTACGCGCTAGATATTCACACGTTGAATTACTACGCGCTAGATATTCACACGTTGAATTACTACGCGCTAGATATTCACACGTTGAATTACTACGCGCTAGATATTCACACGTTGAATTACTACGCGCTAGATATTCACACGTTGAATTACTACGCGCTAGATATTCACACGTTGAATTACTACGCGCTAGATATTCACACGTTGAATTACTACGCGCTAGATATTCACACACTAAGTTACTATGCGTTGGAGTACCAACATGTTGTGTTGCTACGCGTTGTATTACCAAGCATTAGAATTTTAACGCGTTAGATATTCACTCGCTAAATTATCACACGCTAGATATTTACTCGTTGAATTACTACGCGCTAGATATTCGCACACTCAATTACTACGCGTTAGAGTATCAATACGTTGTGTTGCTACGCGTTATATCGTCAATTAAATTTTACTAAAATGATCACTAAATAATATTTTAAGATTGTACCTGGTTACGTGAACGAAACACACTACACGTGAACTACGAACCGTACATATTTCTGTTGAACTGCGTTCGCTCTCAAGAGAGAAGCAAAGAGTCCTCATCCGCGATTGCATTTGTAATGCAAAAACACGACATGTATCATTTAGTATATAACATTTGGCATACTCGTTCGATCGTGAGCGAGAATAAGGATCTTTTCGTGTTGAGAATGGTCCGATACAACGTAGACGAAGATTGGTCACCGTGGAACTGTATCCTGTTAACTGAAGAGGAGGCTGAAGTTCATTGCAAGATTAAAGATCTCTCTTCTATGTACTCGAAGCATCTACTCGAGCGAGTTCTATTGTACCATCAATTGGCGAAGAATCAGTTCAAGTACGTGCAAGCGTTCTTGCGAACATTGATAATCTGTGAGAGACTCTTTCATTGATAGACAAGAATGATGTATTGATTAAATGCGTTGCAGGTCCTTGAAGCAATTTGAAGAAGAATATCGGGAAACGTTTCATAGCATTGAGAAGAAACTGGTGTATGAACCGGCGGTCAAAGTGGACGATTATCAATTTACGTGAAATATTTTGGATTCTTTCTTTTGAGATCTGAGTAATAAATTAAGAAAATAAAAGGCTGTACTTTGAAAATAACTTGCAGAATCTCTTGCATCAAATAAACAAATTGAGTACTGATATCTCATGAAATGAAGAATGTATCAAATAGTTTTCTACTACTTTTTGAGATTTCAGTCTCGGTTCAAGAATTCACCCCTACTGGAAATAACGAAGTACTCGAACAAAGTTTCTTTGGCCAACAACACTCATGATCTAGATGCAATCACGAACAATAAAAAAAGCGTTCCGCAGAATGAAAAGAAAAAATGCAGAATTTGTAGCGGAAGTAAGGTAGTTCTTTGAGGTACATAAAATCGAAAAATAATGGAGTAGAAAGTGCTTTTGACCGATCGACCAAGCAGGTTGCCATTGGCAACGCTGGATTTAAGGCTATGAGCTTTCGATTGGTGCAGAGCTTTCTCCTATATGGACTGCGTCGCATTAAAAGCTTCGTGTTCGTCCTTTTCTTGTCTCGTTGTTTCCGTTCTTTTATTTAGTTTATATATCTATAAGTCTGATACAAGAGTTATCTTAAAATGTGAAGCCTTACCGGCTCGATTTATGATCCGACATCGTGGACAGCGGTAGTTACGATAAATTTCCACGTTGACGACCAACGATTCGTCGCGACACGCTGAAACGAACGATGAATAATCGCGGGACACGTTCGATATAAACAAGAACGTTATAAAAGTAATTTATGAGGAGATAAGCGATACAGGACGAGCCGGGGCGTTTTAAAACACACGGGGTGAGTCGAAATATACAGTAGATTTGTATTTATTGCGGTTCGAGCCTTCGGGTCGTCGAGGATTTGCTTTTTTTTTATTATCGTAGCTTTTTTTGCTGTACCGTTTTGATTTGTGTCCGAATTTCCATTGGGGAAAACTTTCGGATCGTTGTTCTGTTATTGTTTCTTTTGTTTCTGTAATAGGGTTGTATATTGAGTTATGAGGCTGTAGCAACAATGTTACTATTGCAATTCGAAGGGTGAATCGAGTTAAATCGTTTCGAGCAAATCTCTATGGCGTTAGATTGCCATGCGTTATATCGCCATGAAATTTTCACGTTCTGTGTTGTCACGTGCTTAAATTGTTTTATGTTCGGCTCCTTTCTATATTATTACATTTCTAGATCATCGATTTTATTATTACATATCACCATGTGATTATATCTTCATGAGAGTAAATTACCACGCAATACATCACTAAATTAGTACGTTGTATCTCCACGCGCTCTAAATTCCTGCATCTTTAGCTACCACGCATTGCATTGCCATTGCGTTCAAGTTACTATGTATTGTATCGTCACTCACTAAATTGTTTTATGTTCGGCTCCTTTCTATATTATTACATTTCTAGATCATCGATTTTATTATTACATATCACCATGTGATTATATCTTCATGAGAGTAAATTACCACGCATTATCACGCGACTAAATTACGTTGTATCTCCACGCGCTCTAAATTCTTGCATCTTTTGCTACCACGCGTTGTATTGCCAATGCGTTCAAGTTGCTATGTATTGCATCGTCACTCATCCAATTTACCACGTGTTGTATCACCACGAGTCTAAATCATTACGCATGATTCTATCGCTATGAGGATAAATTATCACGCGACTAAATTACGTTGTATCTCCACGCGCTCTAAATTCCTGCATCTTTTGCTACCATGCATTATATTGCCAATGCGTTCAAGTTGCTATGTATTGTATCGTCACTCACCCAATTTACAACGTGTTGTTTCAACACGAGTCTAAATCATTATGCATGATTCTATCGCCATGAGGGTAAATTATCACGCGACTAAATGACGTTGTATCTCCACGCGCTCTAAATTCCTACATTTCTTGCTACCACGCGTTGTATTGCCAAGAGCCTAAATCATTCGTCCAAATTTCAATGTATTGTATCCTCACTCAGCCAATTTACCACGTGTTCACCACGAGTCCAAATCACAACGCACTATTACCACGCGTCCAAATAACCAATCGTATAACCAATAGAACGTTCTATTCGACGATTAATATAAACTAATTCGCGAAAAATGAAACGGAGTCGAAAAATTGGAGCTATTGAAAAAGTACTAAACTGGAAAACTAAAAGCAATCAAAATATGATATATTTCATCGATTGTGCATTGAGAGTAACAATTTCGCGCTCGATTTCGCTCGTTAACGTCATTTCAAAGACCCCGGAAATTTTTCGCGTATAAATTCAAACGAAATTTCATCGTACCGTTATCGCATCAAGCGGGGAAATATTGTTTCAGGGTATTTATATTTAAATTTGAAAAAAGGTGTTAATCCCGATAGCGGAATGATGATAAAAGCGTAGTCTCAGAGATTCTGTAGGTACATACGTTAACAGAGACGAAGCTTCTATATCGACGATTCCCTTTTTGCATTTCTTCGATGCCTCGAGCGGTTTGCTCGAACAGTTCTATATTCGGGGCGTCTTTTAGCAACCCTGTGCTTCCTTTTGCACGTTAAATAATGTATAACAGGCGGAAAATGCAGCCTCGCGTGTGTGTCGCGTGAAAACCTTCGATGAACGAACCGTGTCTATACGTTTCATATTTCCATTATTTTTCACGGAATAATATATTATTATTTTCCGAAAGAAGATTATTTTTCAATCACGAAACAATGTAAATATCGTACGAGAGTTTAAACCCGGCGTTTCAGTTTTTTAAATATTAATTCGTCGAATTTCAATAAATCGCGAGCCGTGTTTATGATTAATATATCGACATTTTCCTGCCCGTTCAACTTATTTGCGATCGAGTTTACGCTCGCTATACATTTATTTATGATCAAATTTACGCTGTTCCGTGCTCGTTTACGATGAAATTTATGCCTCGCTGAGCGATCGCCGATATGCTACGTTTATAGCAGAATTTATGGTGCTACATGCGAACGTCGATGATTGACGCGTTAATATTTACGTGGTCTGCTTAATTACCGACAGCCAGGGCCTTCATGTTCTTTTCGATGATTAGCGCCGTTTCGAAATGAGCTTGACGTTCACTTTTGTGTCTAGCACTCAAATTCAAATGTAGTCAATGTTATGTTGGCCTCTCGGTATATTGCCGTTTCAGGACAAAAGTAATTTGGGAATTTAGATGTTTGAAAGTACTTTTCGGGATTGAAAATTTGGAATTTGGGGACTTTGGAATTGGGGACATTTGGAATTTAGGGAAATTGGAATTTGGGGAATTTGGAATTTGGGGAATTTGGAATTGGGGAAATTTGGAATTTGGGGATTTTGGAAT